CAGTGGTGACATCTTGTGTTTTGATTGCAGCAATCAGCTGGACTCAAACGTGGCACTTGTAGTTTTTCTTGCTCACGCATGTGATATAACGGGATTAGAATCCGCTGTGTGAGATTTATGCGTCTACCCCCCCCCCCCTCACCCCAAACACATGCTATCTTCCTCCCCGTCGACGGGCTTTTTTTTTTCTTTTTCTAAACATGTTCTTCTCGTCCACTGAACTACCTCATAAACTTCTTAATTAAATCTCTCAGAACAATATTTCAGAAAGAGAAAGCAGTGCTGACAAAAGGCAGGGGGCACGACTACGCCTACACACATTATTTTTACCTGAAAAGTTGGTCCAAAGAAAAGTGAGCTAGGAATATCCAGGTGTATTAAATAAAAGTAGAAAAACTACAAAACATAGCCCCAAAATGTGAAGAAATGATTCTTCATATTTTTGTTTTAACCTGAAACCCCCTGGACGTTCTTATAACTTTAAAAAAGTATGTTGTTTTTTAAAGATATTACTCTAATCTGTCTGGATTATCCTTAGTTTGGCCAGCTGGATTCTGTTATTTCTAACATACAGAAACATTTTGGGGGGTTTCAGATCTGAGACTGTAGGGAACTATTTCCAGTGGGTGCTACTTCAATAGTTTGCAAACATAATACCATTTCTATAGGTCTTCATCTTATTTCGCACGCTGTTGGTCTTTTGTGCATTATTTTAAACCACAAAATTGAACAAGCTAAGTCATCCAGCAAAAAAACTATACTTTGCAGTAGCCGCAAACATTTTCAGGCGCCTTTTCTCCCTATCTCTTGGTAAACACATGGCCACCATAAAACGAAGGGGGTAGATCAAGATCGCGTCAAGTGTCTCTTATACAACAAGAAAATAAAGCTCCAAAAACAGTTAACGGTCACCAGATCAAGATGATAGGTGAAATGTAAAAAGAATCAAAGTGACTCAAATGGAAAGAAAAAAGAACCCCCGAACGCTATTACTGCCTAATCAGCCCTGACTTCAGTGTGGTATTGTACACCACCGCCCGTCTCCTCCGATCGCTCGACATCAACGAGGAAATAAACCGCCCAGCTGACATTGTTCCCCACCGACCTGAATGGCCTAATCTCTTGACTAAATGACCGTAGACCGGTAAACTTATCTCTCTTTCTATTATGACCTGGTCGTGACATTCCAGCCCTCGGCTCTCCTGGCCTGTTTGGCTGACAGATTAAATCGACAGCCCGTCTGGTACCACTTTTTGGCAGGGCTTGGCATTAAAAGACGTAAGCTGACATAGCGCCCGAGTTGCTGGAGGTCCAGACACCTGACAGAAAGGAATTGGTGTTGACAATAGTGGCTGTAGTAGTTTGTAGAAAGTAAAAACACTGTAAAAATATATATTAACCTGAACAGAACAATAACGTAATTATGGCCGTAAATTATTGTTGTCTGGGAAAACTCGCTGTTCAGGAGAGTGCGTGTGTTAAGAATTTTTCATAAAACTACCGACAAACAATTTGCAGCCTATTTGACGTGTTGAAAATTAAGATTAATTTACACTACTTTCCAGTTTTAAAATTCTTGTGTTCTACTTTTTTTACTGGACTAATTGCTTCAAAAGACTCCCCCCCCCCCCCCCCCCCCCGTTCCCCACTTATAACAGACACACATACATTCAGAGGTAATGAGATAAAAAGACAAAAGCAAGTTCTAACAACTTAAAATTTCTATTTGGACAAATAGCCCGATATCCATACCCAATTTTAGATTATTTTAAGTCTTTAAAAAAAAATCAAAACAATGAAACTTTAAGGGTTCTTCTGATATGTTTTGAGCCCCGGTCAGCTGCTCTGTAACTGCGATCTGCGACTGTTCCCCTCTGTAACAATGGTATGCACTGCTGTTCTCTATTAAAAAAGAATGAAATACCCCTAACATGTGTCAAACAGGTAGCTAAACTGCCCAGCGTTACGTTTTTGGTATTCTTGTTCTTAAAGATAAAGGAAAAATTCACTAATCCCCAAACCACTGGCGCCTGGTCCACTCACACTGTGGGGTTGTTCCTTCATGTAATTACAATAAGTTTCCAAAGATTTATAGCCTACTTCACTAATTTCCAGCACAGCAACTTACGCAGTTTTGTTAGGAACTTGAAAGCGTTCCGTTGTACTCAGTACGTGTGCATAGACAGTCCTCTCGAGCTCATTTATGTAATTTGCGTTTCCTCTAGATCTATCAACGCGTCTTCAATTCTTTTGTTTTACACAGCACACTCTTCACTATTGAACGAACGTTGTTCTCATCTCAACGTTTTCGTCGTTATATCAGAAAGGGGAGATGAGGCCACCACCAGAGGAAATAGGATTTCTAGTAAGAGTCTTTAAAGCCTGAGACCGAACTGAGGAAATGCTCTACGCTGGGAATTCCAGGCTTAGTTTTGGCGGTGTGTGTGTGTGCTTGTGTGTCTGTGTTTGTGTGTGTGTGTGTGTGTGTGTGTGTGTGTGTGTGCTTGTGTGTCTGTGTTTGTGTGTTTGTGTGTGTGTGTGTGTGCGTGTGTGTGTGTGTACGCTTTGTGTATGTGTGTGTGCGCTGTGTGTGTGTGTGCGCGCGCTCTGTGTGTGTGTGTGTGTGTGTGTGTGTGAGTGTGTGTGTGTGTGTGTGTGTGTGTGTTTGTTTGTTTTAGTGTGTTTAAAGGAAAGGGGAGGGGTAAGAATCTGAAAAATGTTTTTCAATATTCTTTTTTTCTTTGCATTCCTTTGCTGGTTCTTTAACTTGTAGTGCAACTGATTCTTACGTCTGTGGCCGGTTTTATAACTGCGTTCAAACAGCTTCATTCATGATTTCGAAGGTACTCTTTTTGTACTGTTTAGAGTATTTTCAGTTTACGTAGGATTTAATTTTAGATTTTACCCGGGGCGACTGAAGCCTACTCATATCGACTTCAGCGCCCCAAGGGATCTTTAAAAATTCCAAAATTGCTCACACCCTTCCGATATTTTTTGCATTTTTCGAGGAAACCTTGGTGCTCAGTCTCACCTATCTTAAAGAGCAGGGGTATGGCTGAAAAGTTGTAAGAATTAGCCAGGAGTAGCAGTAGAGAGAGGAAGAAGTAATTGAGAGAGGAGCAAAGGGAATGGGTGAGCGTGGTAAAAAAGGTTGGGGGGGGGGGAAGAGAAAGTGGAGATGAAAACAGTTGATAGAACAGGACTAGACAACAGCGAAGAAGGACAAAGGAAACTATTTCAGAGAAAAATATTTTTTGTTGTGGGCAGGTTTTGATCATGTCACCTTTTGACTGAGAGGCGAACACAGTGTTTCTAGACCACGAGAACTCCATTGGTTTATCGAAATCTTATTTTAAACCATCACGATGTATTCATGTAAAGGGGGGGGGGGGGCTCTCATGACCTAGAGATTAAGGTGTTGGCCTCTCATTCAAAAGTCCCGGGTCCGAATCCGGGTAGCGACGGAAACATTTTCTTCTCTAAAATTGTCTCCTTTCACCTCTTTTCCTGCCCTCAAACAATATTTTGTCGTCTGTTTTCGTCTCCACTTTATGCCCCCACCCCCTCACCTCCTTTGTGCCCCCGCCCCCCTCTCCCCTGAGCTTCTGACTGTTTCTGCAGCCTTTCTACTGCTACTACTAGGCTCCTTCTTACTGCTGTCTTTCAGCCACACGCCTGATCTTCTTGTGAGAAAGATCTACACCTAGCGTTCTCGGACAATGGCGAAAAATCTCGGAGGTCTCGTGTGCAAGTTGCACTCATTAAAGATCTCTTGGTGGTCTAAAATCGATAAGAGTAGGCTTCGGCCGCCACCCGGGAAAAATTCAAAATGTTCTACCAACTGAAAATGTTTAATGTGTCCCGCGCCATAAACACTTATAAAGAATGTAATGTCGGGAACTATACTTTACGTAGAAGTAAACAGGCGTGTAGCTATGAGCACTATTCTTCCTTTTTTAAAATATTGTTTCTCGTCTTTATTTCAGCACAATCTCTTTAAAAAATCCCCCTGTCTCTTTATTTTATCCACTACCACTGATCTCCCCCCCCCCCTCCTTTCCCTCTAAACTGCATTCTTGTTCGTCTTTTGTATTTGCCATCAACCCGTCGTGCTTTCCCACACAATAAAATAAACAAGATGATTCAACATTCTCTAAGCCATAGCGTACTACAAATTTAATGACTCAGCATTGCCTTTATGATTCCCTGTTCAAGAATTCAATGCAGTACAAGATATTTACTTAATTACCCTTTTTCATAGTACGAATTCAATACCGTATCTTTTGTCTGCGTAATGGAGTGTGGTATCTTCTACGTGAAAAATAACCATTTATTTTTATCGTTTGGGAACTCTGTTTTACTACGGTTTATACCATGTAAGTACACCCGCACCATCGCTCGTCACTACAGTGAAGCTACCTGCAGGCTGGAGTAAGCATTGATGTATCTTATTCAAGGCCACTTTCAGTGACCCGCCCTTTCAGCCTTTCAAAGCGGTACCACCACCCACATCGCTTGACATTGTGAGCCAGTGTGCACGAACGACTCGATCACTCGATCAGTAGGACCCCCGTGTGGTGGGGTGGGGTATTATTGTCAATGCCATAAAAAGCAAACAACAGGTACACGATTTGCATAACTTCTTGTCTGTGTGTAAGGAATAGAGTATTAATATATTCATTTTTGGAAAACTTGATACTTGATCATAGATTACTTATACGCTGCTTAATGTCATTGCGTAACTGCATAAAAACAGCAAGGTTGGACACGGTATTTCCAGTAGAAAACCAGTCCACGACGTTAAAATAAATTACGAAAGTACTCAAATCAAAATGTGAATTAGGATAAGTGCAACTGCTCGTGATATCTTAGTTACAAGTCGGCTGTCCGTTTGCTTGCTCTGTTTTTATCATATGTATTGCTTGTCTGTTATGCAGAAAAGTGAGTCATTTACAACATCACAAGTTAACTATGTTTATATTTCTTTGATCTCTTCACAGGAGAGCGTTCACGGGAAACCCCTGCGTTTGGAGGAAAACTTACGAACACTTTGGTGAGTTGCCTTGAAGCCAGTCTGCGAAATTCGAAGAAATATTATTTCAATTACATCTAGATGCAAGTTATAATATTCAATACTGCTTGCAACGCTTTAGTTATTCCGGAATGCCTACTGTTTTCGAGTACTGTTTGCGTATGAAATCGAGGACGGGGGGGTACGAAAGGCGCTTTGAAGTATTGACGAATGCAAAAACAGTGCGGATTAAGAACTGTGGGGATCCTATGGACAGATCCTAATCAAGTTCCGTCTTGGTTCCAACACTGAAATGAATATTTCATTTAATATACGTTTTTAAGACACGATTATTCCGGATGAGCAATGCTCCCTGTTGTTCACCAAAAAAAATTCATAGTTGATGAAAAGTAAGTCTGACTTATGCTCCTACCTGGTTGGCGAAATGAAGTCACAGCTGACTTATTAATGACGTAGGGTATTTTTCCATAATAAAGAACGCCATCACCTTAAGAATGTATGTTGAAAAAAATGTAACTGCATTATCTGCAGTTCACAAAGAACAATATATACCAGATGTTGTTAATTTAAATGTCTGAATAGTTTACACGCCTTACGAAAATCATCTCAAATTTGTCTTTACGGTAGTTTCCAACTCTTTTCGTTTTAGTTTTAGATAGAGATTTGCAGCACAATAAGGTCATATAAGTGCCGACTTTCCAACTCATTGAGGAGCTATTCAGACCCTGCCAAAGTTCCCCCCCCCCCCCCCCCCAGGAAAAAAATATATTGACATGACATCCGCAAAAAGAGGTTTTTATTTTTTGCGCCAAGCTTTCGAGGCACATAAAACTTCTGTAGAGATTTCCTGGAACCGTCGCCCGAGCGATGGAAATCTGCCTAACATCACGTGAGGGACGGTCATAAACCGTTTGCGTCGACTCATCACTCATCAGTATTTCCTCATAGCGTGTTCTTCAATCAGATTGCTTGTTAAGGTTTTTGTGCTAATCATGGGTTGTTTATATTTATGTTTCTTCGTTAATGTGGCTAGTTACAGAATCTGCAGAGCATGATATACTTCATTTCCTGTTGTTTCAAACAGAAACCTATAACTGTAATTAAGGGTTCCACACCGTAATAATGTGCAGTGTAACGGGAGTAAACAGTAATTGAATTCGTGATCTTTTGAAAAGTCACCAGAAATTAGACAGTTGAAAGCATTCTAACTGACATGCGTATAATATTATTCAAGACAGTGCTCTCTCACGTTGTTTCCATCCACTTTGGAGCTCACCATTTAGCTCAATTTGGAGCCAAATGAAGGGCAAGGGGGGAACGGTGCCGCGTGCACTCGACTGTAGCGAGGCTTTGGTTTTGCTTTTCATTTGGGCACCCATACACATAATACGTGCGTACAAACACTCTTGCGTACACGCACACATGCACATAAATTAAAACATGAAAACATAGCATACCTGCACACACAAACAGTGCTACACACACTTGAGACCACACAAAGGCGTGCGCAAACTGACACCCACAAACAAACTAACTAACAAACAAACAAACAGATCACTCAAACACAGCGGATCATCACGCCCTTCAAGTTCCATTTTGTAAAAGAATGATTCCAGACGTCCTCTTTACTGGAACGAAAGCCCTTAATGTACTTATCCGTCCTCTGTCCATCTGAGCGGCTAGTGGCCAACAACAACATACACATTAGTTGTCCTTAAGACTTCACTCGTTGTCCCTGTCATGCGTGACATCCTGGGACCCCCTACCTGCTCCTTCACTTAGCCTCTCCTTCATTTGACATTGTGGGACCGTTGGGAATCACACCTATTCGGACACTGGTACTGCTCGACTGGAATAATTGATACTTCATTTTGAAGGTAGAGCATTTTCAGTTAGGGTGATTTGTTGGTCTTCTGAACACTTTCCGCGGCCACAACCTTTACCGGTTCAAAGTCTCACTGGTTAATTACCGAACCCCGAGCTCTGACACGTTTCTTGTCTTTGTTTCCTTCTTGTTTTATCTTCACAGTGTTTCGCACTATTTCATGGATATGTTCACTTTGGTATTTCTTTCTTTGCTACCCATTTTCATCTGCAGATTTTTCTTCTGTATAGCTGGTACTTTTTAGATTGTTCTGGCACAGTTACTCCATAATGTTCCTATGCTGCTTTTGCTTATCATACACTTTGTAAGACGTACTATTACGGTACTGTCTATTATTGCCATTATTACTACTGACAAGAGTCGGCAAAATGGACAACAAACCTTCGTTTCCTTAATAATCTTCCCTGTTTTCTATGATATTAATAGCAATCAGCTCAAGTTGCTTCACCAAGCGAGGCTTTCATATTCTACTGTTACAGTTACTGTGCTCTGTGGAACCAAATAAAGGGAACGTAAAAGAAAACAACGGATAGACTGAAACTTTAATGTATTCTATACCAACGACCTGTTAAATGAAAAATAAGTAGTTGTTTACTCTATCTTTCTCTCTCTCTCTCTCTCTCTCTCTCTCTCTCTCTCTCTCTCTCTCTCTCTCTCTCTCTCTCTCTCTCTCTGTCTCTCTGTCTCTCTGTCTTACTTTCTCTCTCTATTTCTGTTTCTCTATCTGTCTCTCTCTGTTTCTGCATCTATCTATCTATCTATCTATCTATCAATCTATCTATCTATCTATCTATCTATCTATCTATCTATCTATCTATCTATCTATCTATCTATCTATTCCACGCCTTGAAACAATCTTACTGTTACCATGTATACTCCTGTTGACTGAAAAAAACTAGTCTTTTTCGCTATGTGGGCCGTATGCAAAATGGACAAGAACGTGAGAAAGTTACCGATAAACTCTGTGGTGCTGAAGGGAAGAGATAACAATTGTACCAGCAGGATAAATAATATCATATCAGGGTCAGACAACATACTTCAGAGTTCGTGAGATATTCGCATTTCTTTCAGTAAAGTCTTCGCCTCTCATTTTATTGCTTGATTTTTTTATTTTTTTTGGTATCTGTTGTATGTTTTGTTTTGTTTTTCGGTGTTTTTTTTTTTACTTTTTTTATTTAGGTGCGTTTTGAAAGATACTAGCTTTTAAACAGAGGATGTCACCCCACTTTATTTTACAAATGGTATCTTTCTTATCCCTGCTCCTCCTGGGCTTATGCCTATTTCACTCTCTCTCTCTCTCTCTCTCTCTCTCTCTCTCTCTCTCTCTCTCTCTCTCTCTCTCTCTCTCTCTCTCTCTCTCTCTTTCTTTCTCTGTCTGTCTGTCTGTCTGTCTGTCTGTCTGTCTGTCTGTCTGTCTGTCTGTCTGTCTGTCTCTCTCTCTCTCTCTCTCTCTCTCTCTCTCTCTCTCTTTCTCTCTCTCTCTATATATATATAATACGAACTTATCTGCTCTTTGAAATACGAAATAATAATGCTTGTTTTTCAAATAAATTTTCTCCACGGCACGTGGACCTCCGCCTTACTTCTTTTTGTCTTTCCGTACGAAAAAGGGTAGGACTAAGATAGGCAGCAATCAAATGAGGGATAGTGTCATCCACCCCCACCCCCTAACCCCCACCCCACACCGCTACATTGGAAACAAAGGTCGTTGTAAAAAAATAAGGTTAATTTGTCCAGAAAATGGAATTGCTATTTCATGAGCCGGTGATTGAATAAAACAATCTCGCTCCAAAGGATGGTTCTGCTGACCGTTTCCTAGAAAAGTTCTGACGTCTTTAATATCGTTGTCTCTAAACCGTTTCTCTGGTAGGTAAGCAGTGAAATTGAAGAGAAGTCGATGAGGTTAGGCGTGTTATGTACGCATGATCAGCGACAGAAATTACTTTTATAGAGTTCAAAGATTCTAATTTCCAAGTATCCTATGTCATAATTGAATATATTTATTTATGAGCTCTCTCCAAAAACTAGATCACCACTCCGTTCAAACTGGTTAATAAGAAATGGGTGCTTGGTGGAAAAAAAACCCTACCGTATCTCATTTAGAAACGGGTGCTTCATAGCTTTCCCAGCTCAAATCGGTTCTGGGACTCGCTTAGGCTTAATATTCTCGCCGTCGGAAACCCCGACCCCGTCCTCTCTCCCCCTCCCCCTCCCCCTCCTCCTCCTCCTCCTCCTCTCTTCCCCACTTCGTGTCCCGGCACCGACATGTTACTCGCGGCGCGCGGCCAACCTGGATAGACTTGACGGGAACACGCGCCCAGTGACAGCCGTAGTCGGGGATATTTATATCTCGGCCGAAAACGGACAGTAATTTCGAATTCAGCGGCATCGCTGGTTCTGGCGACGAGGGGTGATGGACCAAAAAGTTTCTCACGCGTGGTTTTTAGCCCGTTTGTGCGTTTCAGACTTTGGAGCGGATTTGACAAGGAAATAGAATTTGGAGCTCTTTCTTTCGACCAACAGTAAGACAGCACTGAATGTGGTCTTGTTTCCTTGTTTGTTCTATGTTCTTAGTTGATTGCTCGTCATATTCCCTTTACTGACAGCTATGGGCGCGCACGTTTATAACACTTTTACCAGACTTCAGTACTCATTTTGTGTTGGGTTCCATACCAACTTTTTTTACGCAAAGACTGATTATATTTCACTTTTCATTCCTGTGTGTCTTCGGCTTGAACACTTAGATCAACACGACCTGAAAAGAAAAAGCGAAATATGTGTCGTTTAACTTGGTATAGCATATATTTTAAATATTATTTTTACTCAGGTAGAAGAAAACACTCAACAGTGATCCTTTTACATTGACTTTGCTTTTCCCTTGTCATTCGCTTCTCTTGTGCTGTCGCTCCTTTTATTTTCACAAAACGTTATTTTTTTTTTCAATCAGATTTGTCGCCGAATACCAGGTGATATAACTAAGGTGGACAGGTGATAAAGCTTTAGGTGGACGCGTCAGTTGTAGATTGGACAGATGTAGCAGTAGTTGGTATTAACTTCTGTTCAACTGACACAAACAGGGAGAGAACTGAAATGAGAGGGAATGGAAGAAACGGAGAGAAAGAGAGAGAGGGAGTAA